GGTGATTCTGAAGGTAAATGGGATATCCGCTCATAGCGTTGTCTGAGTGATTCAGTCGATGGGTGAAGACATCAGCAGACGAGGCTAAAGCAGAACATGACTATTCCCTTCCCAAATCCACAGTGATTTATTGACTGGCGTCTTTTGAAAACCAGCCCTGTTTTCAGGAGCAGAAAGCGGTTCGCTGCAGGTAACGAGTCGACGGTGGTTTGATAATTAGGATGTTTGCCGCCACGTGACTGTGGCTTTAATCAATAGCGCGGCTTTCTTACATTGATTTCTGTCCTTCTCATTTCCTCACGTCCTGGAGACCTTTGTGTTTGAGTTTCAGAGCATCGTTTGGAAAATGTCCCACCGGCGGCTGTCAAACGCACTTGTCCGTGTGGACTCAGAGGCCTGGGATCCGGGATTTGCAGTGTAATCCTCATTGTGCTGCATAATTTACTCTAATCTAAAACAAATCCCCTCCATCCCATGCTGAAACCTGATTAAATTCAGCGCTCGACCTCACCTGACCCGCGCAAACAGGTAGCGTTTGTTTGTCAGATGGATTCTCTGAGGACGGATGAATTCTGAGCAGATTTGCTTCAATCCTCTTAAACTCTGAGGAATAATTCATCCATGTTGAGTTCAGCGTTGGGATGTGTATTTTCTCATGGGACGATCCTGCATCGTAACTGGCTGGACCTTGCGATCCCACTGGTTATTATGGGATGGAGTAGCTTTTAATGCGATGTCACGACAACATAACCGATCAGAACATTGAGCCGATACTTGATACGTGAGCTCACTGGAAGATCATAAATAATTTTAAGTTTTCCAGTTTTACATACTCTATAATGACAGCTGCTAATTTTTTTCTTTTAATATGTGACCCTGGAGCACAAAACCAGTCATAAGGGTACATTTTTCGAAATTGAGATGTATGCATCACCTGAAAGCTGAATAAATAAGCTTTCCATTGATGTATGGTTTGTTAGGATCGGACAATATTCGGCCGAGATACAACTATTTGAAAATCTGGAATCTGAGGGTGCAAAAAAAATCCAAATATTGAGAAAATCATCTTTAAAGTTGTTCAAATGAAGTTCTTAGCAATGCATATTACTAATCAAAAATTAAGTTTTGATATATTTACAGTAGGAAATTTACAAAATATCTTCATGCAACATGATCTTTACTTGATTTTTGGCATAAAAGAAAAATCAATAATTTTGACCCATACAATGTATTGTTGGCTATTGCTACAAACATACCCCAGAGACTTCAGACTGCTTTTGTGCTACAGGCTCACATATGTGTATATTATATGTGATGTTAAATAAATATTTATTATACTATTATTTTTATTTTATTTTTTGCATATTTTATATTAGTTGTATTCATTATATTAATTGTATATTTTATATTATTTTTATATTTAATTTTATATTGTTTTTATGTGTTTTTATGTGTATTACAAATTTTACAAATGTTTCATTTATTTTTTATATATGTATGTATGCATGATATATTACAGAATTATGATTTTTTTTATTTGACTTTTTTTTTTTTTTTTACACATTTTTATTTTATAATAACATACATTTCTAAGGTTTATTATTACACATTTTAAATGCAAATTTCAGTCTATAGTTAAATTTAACTTAGTGTAAGGTTATGGTTTGGTTTAATTATACTATATGCATTTTTTTAAATGTTTGTCATATATGATATATTACAGAATGTTTACTTTTTTATTGTTTTGCATATTTTACATTTGTTATATAATTATGTACATTTATCATGTTTATTTTTGTGGATTTTCAATCTAAATTTCCAGGAAGTTTTCTTGTAAGGTTATGGTTTGGTTTGTTAAATAATTATTTACACATTTTTAGCTTATTTTATATTATATAATTAAATATGGATATAGGTATAATGTTTATCACAAACTTCAAATTTAAAATGGCTGAAAATTATGTTGTATACTGTATTTTAAAATATATAATGTATGTGATGTAACAGTTATTTAAACACACACACACACACACCCACACACACACACACACACACACTCTCACACACGCACACACACGCACACACACGCACACACACACCCCCACACACACACACACACACACACACACAGGCCTATATATGTATATTAAATGTTAAATTGCAGAGAGTTTTCTTGTCAGGTTCTGGATTGGTTTATTTATAATCAGCTTTAAACAGTGTGCTGGGATTCCTTATTTAGACAGCTACGTAAAGGTGTGTGTGGAGAATGAAATGGCAGTAAATACGTTCAGGCCGATTTTGCGCATGGGTGCTTTTGTCCTCTAAATATTAGTCACAGTTTCACATACACACTGATGCGCTTCGTACAGAAACACATAAACACACACACACACACACACACACACACT